TGAGCACAGGTGAGCATGGGTAACACAGGTGAGCATGAGTGAGCACAGGTGAGCATGGGTAACACAGGTGAGCATGAGTGAGCACAGGTGAGCATGGGTAACACAGGTGAGCATGAGTGAGCACAGGTGAGCATGGGTAACACAGGTGAGCATGAGTGAGCACAGGTGAGCATGGGTAACACAGGTGAGCATGAGTGAGCACAGGTGAGCATGGGTAACACAGGTGAGCATGAGTGAGCACAGGTGAGCATGGGTAACACAGGTGAGCATGAGTGAGCACAGGTGAGCATGGGTAACACAGGTGAGCATGAGTGAGCACAGGTGAGCATGGGTAACACAGGTGAGCATGAGTGAGCACAGGTGAGCATGGGTAACACAGGTGAGCATGAGTGAGCACAGGTGAGCATGGGTAACACAGGTGAGCATGAGTGAGCACAGGTGAGCATGGGTGAGCATGGGTGACACAGGTGAGCATGAGTGAGCACAGGTGAGCATGGGTGAGCACAGCTGAGCATGGGTGAGCATGGGTGACACAGGTGAGCATGGGTGAGCACAGGTGAGCACAGATGAGCATGGGTGAGCACAGGTGAGCATGGATGAGCACAGGTGAGCACAGGTGAGCATGGGTGAGCGTGGAATAAACAACATGTGCCCTGTTCCCTCTGCTGGCAGGGGCAGGGCTGGGCTGGTCTCTAAGTCCCGTCCTCCATGGGTACTCAGGGTTTGGTGGAATTGCACTCACCTCTGAAGACTGTCCCATTGAATGAGATGCTTCTGGGCCACAAACACCCTCCGAACTTTCTGACTGGCGTGATGGGGGAACTCCTGCCCCCCAAGTCTTTGAAATCCAGGCCTTTAGGTTTCTGCCTTTGGTCAGTTGTGAGGCAGTCGGCTCAGTCATTATCCCAGCCTCAGTTTACCCATCTATGAAATGGCGTGAACACAGGGAGACGTCTCTGCATCTGAAGGGAGGGCTCGCGGGCTCGCCTTCCGGTCATGGAGGAGGGCAGTGAGGGCACCTGGGAACAGGCACACTGGGCGAGCGGAGCCTTCGACAACTAGTAGCCAAGCCAATGACAGCAAAGCCCCAGAATGAGAACTGGGGTTCAGAGCAACCGGAGAAGCAGTGACTGGGGGGCCGGGGGCCTGGCACCCAAGTGTGGCCTCTGCACGTTAGGTGGGCGTCAGTGCCCACTCCTACCAGCCACGAGCGAGGTGCCCACGAGAGATTGGGGCTACGAAGGCTCTGGCTGGATGGAGATGAAGGCCCATGGCTCTCAGCCATTTCCCACTTTGCAAGTGGCTTCCCTCAGTCCCTCTCCGCTCCCCGCTCCAGAGCAGGAACCCAGGAAGGGCCGAGTGCAGCTCCTCCACGCTGTGCAGCGTGTGTGTGTGTGTGTGTGTGTGTGTGTGTGCGCGCGCGCGCGGACTGAGGAGCTACAGATGAAGGTGACATGGCCATCCCTATCCCTCAAGGAGCTCAGAGACTCATGGGAGGGATGCTGGAGGCAGCTATGCCTACATCACTGGGTATCTGGGGAGCAGATGAGCTGGGGGTCCAGGACAGGGTCCCGGAGGAAGGGGCGCTGGGCTGGAGTCTGAAGGATTAGTGAACTCAGCTCGTCAACGCCAGAGGAAGGGGGCAGAGGCGACGGGCAGGTGGGCAGGTGGGCAGCGTGACGAAGGCGTGGTGGGGCTCCGGCAGAGCGGGCACCAGGCCTGAGCCCAGAGGCCGCAGCTCAGGGGACGCTGGCAAGCGTCAGGCCGGGCTGTGGACGGTGCC